AAGCAATGAATAATTATTTTGTTTTTGATTCTTTGTTAACACAAAAAGTGCTGCTATAAATATCTAGTATATATGGGGACTTTCTTCTCAGTGGCTTTCTTGGGTATAAAGCTCCAAGATGAATAAACTCTCTTTGGACACTTTGGTCACTTTAGTTCCTGCCCGATATTTACTGTGGGATCCTTTAGTCAAGTCATTTAACTTTTCTTTACTTCAATTTCCTGTTCTGTAAAATGGGGATAATAATAACAGTATTTCTTGTCTCACGGGTGTCACGGTGAGATTCAAGTGAGAGAAAATCTTTAGTTAAAATATCTTCATTAATTTATATCTTTATTTAAAACTTTGGAAACTTTAAGGTACTATATAAATATCAGCTAGTCTTATTCTTTATTGGTCTTGTTATTATAATTCTTTATTATTAGTCTTTATCCTGCATAATTCTGCAAGGACAGCTAGGTGGCACAGTGGAAAGAGTGCTGGGTCTGGTGTCAGGAAGACTCATCTTCCTGAGATCAAATTTGGCCTCAGATACTTTCTAGCTGTGTGACCCTGGACAAGTCACTTAACCCTCTTTGCCTCAGCTCATTATCCATAAAATGAGCTAGAGAAGGAAATAGCAAACCACTCCAGTATCTTTGCCAAGAAAATCCCAAATGGGGGTCACAAAAAGTTGGACATGACTGAACAACAACAATGTAGCCTCCTCACATCTCCTGTGAGTTGCCCATTGGATGACCCATAACTTTAATTTTTTGGAAGTTGTGGTATTTCATGACTGGCTGCCATGCACTATATAGAAAGAATAAGGATATTAAACATATGAGCCTTTGTTTCAATGTTAAGCTTATGGTAATTAAAGGCAAGGCACAGTTTCCTGAAGGCAATCCAACTTACCCTCCTCTTCACCTCTGGTACCTGAGTATTGCTTTTTTGCACTGTCTATCCAAGAGATGCGTACTGATAGACCACTTGTACCTTCAACCCTTGAAGATATATGTAAGCTATAGACTAATTGGACTGGTTTCCTGTCTAGGTAGAAAACAGGGCAATACTCTTTTTTAACATATATTTGTTTTCCAGTTGGACATCAACCTCTTTTACATTGCTATGAATTTCACTAACGAGAATTTATAATGTAGATAGATTCAATTACTGTACTGTCTTCTAAAGATAGGAGCATTCTTCATCTGCAGAATGGAGATACTAATATGTCCTTACACTACCAGCACCTCACATGTAAGCTGTGAAAATCAGATGAGATAATGTACATAACATTTTATTAACCACACAAAGTCAACTTTTTCATTTCCATTTCATCTTGGAATAATTGAAATCTTCCAAGTCAGGGGACAGAACATTGCAGATGACAACCAAACAGACTTTTTTAGAGAAAGAAAAACAAAGCATTTCAGCAGGGATCTTTTGTTTTCAGATCTCAAAACAAACAAACACCAACACAGACAAAAAACAAAATCCAAGCTATATGGGAATATTCCCACAAATGCAAGTTAAGCTGAAAGGTACACGAACTTAAACAAAAAGCCTAGAATAGGAGTTCTTAACCTTTTCTGTGTCAGGGACCTCTTTAGCAGGTTGGTGAACCATTTGATCCCCATCTTAGAATCATGTTTTTAAGTGCATTAAATTAAACATATCAAATTACAAAGGGGACAAATTATAATGAAATATAGCAATAAAAATAATTTTTTAAACAAACAAACAAAAAACCAAGTACATGGCCCCCAGATTAAGAAGCCTTGGACAAGTGTCTCATTTGGGTTTAGCCTTAGAACAAAAGCATCCTGATAGCACCTGTTAGGAATAATATCTGAAACCTCCCCACACTCTAAGTCAGAGACATCAAATAGGCACGATATTGTGACCTTTAATACTCCTGAGTGTGAACCAGATTTAAATGTAATTGGAACATATTTAATGAAATAAATAAAAATACAATGGAACATAGATAATGTTAATATATGGTTTTCTAAGTTAATATGCAGATCCTAGGGATCTCTATGTAGGGTTTATTAGCCCCTGTTTCCATCTGAGTTTGACAATGTGGTTCTAGGTAATCTATTTTGGGATCTGTACTTAAGGGAAAAGTGAACAGTTGTGGCATTTAGGGGACATTCCTTATATCACCAGGGAGTTAGTGACAGAGCAAAAATGGATTTCGCAGTGGGAGGTAGCATGGTACAGTGGATTTCAAGTTGGAGTACCTGGTTCAAATTCTGGCTCTACCATTTTACTACCTCATATGACCTTGGGCAAATTTCTACCCCTCAGTTTCTTCATCTGTAAAATATGAAGACAGACTTTAATGTTCCTTCTGGTTCTAAGTCTTATGACTCTACAGATAAAGTAAGGGAGTTTGAGTTGCAAGACCCAAGTTCAAACGCTGCCTGATACTAGCTGTAAAAAGAACAGCTTTATGTAACTTCACTTCCTTCATTTGTAAAAGAGTGATAATCACTGGAGTACCTACTTCACAAGGTAGTTGCAAAGCTCAAGTGAGACAACATATGTAAAACATTGTACAAATTTGTATGTGCTATATAGATGTAAGTTATTATTATTATTTCTAGTTCACAGTTTCTCTGACCCAGGATACAGGCAGAGTTGGGGAAGAGAGGGGAATAAGCATTTATTAAGCACCTACTATGTGCCAGGCAATACCTTAAGTGCTTTACAAATTTTTTTTTTAGGCAATTGGGGTTAAGTGACTTGCCCAGGGTCACACAGTTAGTAAATGTCAAGTGTTTGGTCTGAGGTCATATTTGAACTGAGGTCCTCCTGACTTCAGGGCCAGTGCTCTATCCACTGTCCCACCTAGCTGCCCCATGCTTTACAAATATTATTTCATTTGACACTCACAACAACCCTGGGAGGTAGGTGCTATTACTGTCCCCATTTTATAGTTGAAAGAAACTAAGGTAGACAGAGGTTAAAAGACTTGCCCAGGGTCACACAATTAGAAAATGTCTGAGGCTGGATTTGAACTCAGGTCTTCCCAACTTGAGGCCTAGTGCTCTATCCACTGCACCACCAGCTGCCTCAAGAGTTGCTCTCCAAAAAAAGAGCCTAGATATCATCTTTCAAGAAATTATCAAGGAAAACTGCCCTGATATTCTAGAACCAGAGGGCAAAATATAAATTGAAAGAATCCACCAATCACCTCCTGAAAGAGATCCCCAAAGGAAAACTCCTAGGAATATTATAGCCAAATTCCAGAGTTCCCAGGTCAAGAAGAAAATATTGCAAGCAGTCAGAAAGAAACAATTCAAGAACTGTGGAAACACAATCAGGATAACACAAGATTCAGCAGCTTCTACATTAAGGCACCAGAGGGCTTGGAATATAATATTCTGAATGTCAAAGGGGATAGGATTACAACCAAGAATCACCTACCCAGCAAAACTGAGAATAATCCTTCAGGGGGAAAAATGGACATTCAGTGAAACAGAGGACTTTCAAGCATTCTTGATGAAAAGACCAGAGCTGAATAGACAATTTGACTTTAAAATACAAGACTCAAGAGAAGTATGAAGAGGTAAACAGGAAAGAGAAATCATAAGGGACTTACTAAGGTTGAACTGTTTACATTCCTGCATGGAAAGATGATATTTGTAACTCATGAGACCTTTGCCTATTAGGGTAGTTGGAGGGGAAAAAAATTATATGTATGTATATAGATACATAGATAGAGGACACAGGGTGAGTTGAAGATGAAGGGGTGATATCTGGAGAATAAAATTAAGGGGTGAGAGAGGATTAAACTAGGAGAAGGAGAAAAGGAGAGGTAGAACGGGGTAAATTATCTCACATAAAACAGACAAGAAAAGGTTTTTATAGTGGAGGGGAAATGGGGGAAGGTAAGAGGGAATGAGTGAATCTTATTCTCATTGGATTTGGTTGAAGGAGGGAATAACAGACACACTCAATTGGGTATAGAAATCTATCTTACCCTATAGGAAATAGGTGGGAAGAAGATAAGAGAACAGGGGGATGATAGAGGGTTGGGTAGACTGGGGGAAGAGATAATCAGAAGCAAATACTTCTGAGGAGGGACAGGGTCAAAAGAGAGAATAAAATAAACGGGGGGCGGGATAGGAAGAAGGGAAATATACTTAGTTTTCCACAACATGACTACTATGGAAGTGTTCTGCATGACTACACCTGCATAACCTGTATCAAGTTGCTTGCCTTCTCAATAAGGGTGGGTATAGAGAGGGAGGAAGGGAGAAAATTTGGAACCCAAAGTTTTAAAAACAAAAGTTAAAAAAAACTGTTTTCACATCCAACTGGGAAATAAGATATACAGGAAATGGGGTACAGAAATCTATCTTGCCCTACAGGAAAACAGAAGGGGAAGGGAATAAGAGAAGGGGGGTGGGAAGATAGAAGGGAGGGCAGATTGGGGGAAGGGGTAGTCAGAATGCATGCCATTGTGGGGTAGGGGGAGGGATGAGATGGGGAGAAAATTTGGAACTCAAAATCTTGTGGGAGTGAATGTTGAAAATAAATTAATAAGAAGAACCACAGACAAAAAAAAAGAATTAAAAAAATAACCCCCCCCCCAAAAAAGGAGTTGCTCTCGACTCCATGCACTATACTATTTCTCATAATAAGCAACAATAACAGATAAATTATCCCCCACACCCCCACCTTTTTTGGTGTGAACCTTTAATTTCATTACTATAGAGAATTCCTATTGAGGAAATTATCTCTTCCTATGAAAACTGGCAACCGTTGTGCAATTCAGAGCCTCAGAGACTTGCCCACAGCCATGTAGACAATACGTCAGAGATGGGACTTGAATCTGGGACTTCCTGTCTCTGAGGCTGGTTCTTACTTGCCCTCTACAGATAAAAGCATTTCTATTAAAATACCACTAACCAGCACAGGCCATCTGCTGACTTTACACTGAGAATATGCATGAATAGAAAACCAGGACTAAGCACTGTCATTGACTGAAAGACTACTGAGAAAATGAATCACTTCATGGAAATCAAACTTTATTAAGAATAACTCTTACAAAGTAAATGCATAGATAGTCACACGCAGTACTTAGAAATGATTTTATGGCATATTTAAGAATAAATGATTTGACATGAAAATATTTCATTATAAATCAAAGCATCATGAAGCTATAACAGAATCATGTGTAGTGCTACTATCCATAATCACAATAAAACCAAAAGGATTATGGATCTCATCAATGACTGTTTTTGTCTTAGGCAGTCACTGGCGATTGCCTCATCAGACTCCATGTTGTCTCTAGTGCCAGGACAAACAGCCTGGGGGTTCCTTGGGTTGTTCAGTGCTCCTGGAAACACGCACCTATCCAGATCCATGCTTCTGAGAACACTGAATGTGCATTCTCTGCTAGCCTCCTGCGGTGTTTGCCAAAGCTTACCAAATCAAGGAGTGAGTTCTGGTGCTAAATGGGGAGAAGTCTTCTCTGGTGCTAAAGGGGACTGAGGGTTTTCATTGGTTTAAAGCAATCAGATTAGACATTTCTATGATTACACCCCAGAAAGTGCTTGCCCCATGAGGCACACCAGCAGTATTATTAGGAGAAGCTTCACTCAGCCTCCATTTGGCTTTTCAGCTTGGCCAGCTTCATGAGGCATTCATCTCGCCATTGCCTCCTGGCAGCCAGGTGTGCTGGATCAGCAGGAACACGGGCACACATAGCCTGCGATAAAGGAAAGGGAGATCTGGTGAAGCAGTGCTCAGAGGGAGAGGTTGCTGCTATCTCTTGGCTAACCTTCACATCAACCATGATTTTCCCATTTCCCAGGCTGCATAAGAGCTGGGAATGTTAATTCCCTCAATAAGTCCATCCTGAGACCACAGTCATAAATTACCAAGGGAAATGGCGTTCATTACTGATGCTGCTTTTGAGCTCTTGAATGATCTCTCATGGGTCCTGTAGGCTCTGATAAAAGCTTGTGTGCTCATCACCCCTGCAAAAGCCTGATCAGGAGCCTTATGGACCTTCTAGGGCCAAGGAAGGAAGGCAAAGATTACACCAGAATTCTGTATAAAGCTGGTATGGGAGAGGGAAAGCAGAAGGATAAGATGTGAATGGGCTTCCAATGTCTAAAGCTCTAAGTTGCAGAGGAGGGGCTGATCTGAATTGGTGGAGGGAATTTCCACACCAGAATACATACCTGATGAACATTTTCTAAAGTCGCTCCAGAAAAGTCTGGAACCGGCCCAAAAGTTTTTAGGACACGCTTCATGCCTTCGCTGTATCGTTCACAATAGTTTGACATGCCTGAAATGATGACACAGGGTTCAGTATATCAGTAATATAAATATCACTTAACAGTGAAGGTCCCCAATCATGAAAACTTTTTTTTTTAGTTAATAGGCTTGACTTTGAAGGGAAATCAGATCTAGCCTCTCCTCATTAAGCTCAGCAGTGGCTGGCCTAGAATGAAGAAAATTACCAGGTGAAGCTCTTTTTTTTTTTCTTTTCTTTTCTGAATTCAGGTCATGAAATCCGGGGGGAGGGGGGAGACTATGTGACTCTTCAAGTCCAACATCTTATCATGACCACCAATTAACTTATGAAGGAAGCTACCAGCCACACAAAGGTAGATCACTGAACTGCCTCCTTAAACAATGCAAGGTAAAACAAAGGTGAGATTACGTTGAATAGATTTTCTAAGAGCTTTATTAGTGCAAGTTCAATAAAGGAAAGAAATAGTCCCAGGCAAGAAGAGAAGGCGTTATTTTGTTGGAATCTTCCCACTTTCTGAAGTCTTCTTTCTCCTCTAATAAGATCTTTTGGCATGGCAACCATCGTGTCTTCACTGGCGCTGGTCCCCGCCAAGTCTCCCAAGTAGGCAGACGACTCCTACCTTTCCTTATCAAAACTCTTTTCCCTCTAAATCTAAATGAATACCCAACACGGAGGGAACGTAAAGCAACTGGTACAAGAGCTTCTGACAGCCAAGTTTACAATTGTTGAGAAGTGTTATTTTGTGTAACCCTCTCTGGTCCAAGAAGAGGTTAGGAAAATTCAGATGGAGATTCCCCAGTAATGATTTTTGCTGCGTTGGGATCATGAAGACCTGGGTTTCAGTCTTGCGTCTGACACATACTGGCCGTGAGCCTGGGCATATTTCTGCATCCAGGCAACCCTCTACGGCCACAGGTTGCATACAGGGACTTTCCACACTAGAAATTCCTCACACTGCTGAAATCACAGATTTGGACTCCCCTTCCTCTCCAAATATTCCATTTAAGCAGGGGGCTCAGAACAGATCCTCATTTCCCACTTGATTGCACTACTTCGGGACTACTCTGACTTCTCTACCATCCTCTGGGAAGCTCATAATTGGGAAACCTCACCATCCTTCAAGATCTAATTAGCTGTGGTGCTCACACTTCATCACCTTCCTAGACCCCCTTCAGTTCCTTTTGTGTTGTCTTTCCCCCATTAGATTAGAAGCTTCTTGAGGGCAGGAATTGCCCTTTTTTGGTATCTGTATATATGAATTATAGGACAATAATCACAGATGTTAGAGCTGGCCTTTTCTAGCTCATTTGCCTCATTTTACACTGTTTTCAACCAAGCTCATTTCCTAACACTTCCAAACCTATGCCCTTCCCAAAGGGCATTCTAAATCCGTCATTCTTTCTACTGTAACAATTTGTGTGTGTGTGTGTACGTGTGTGTGTGATCAAAGCTGAGATCATCACTCAGAATCCTGATGTGCCAGAAAAGTCACCCTACTTCTCCATGTTGTGAGTACAACATTATTATCCTGACATGCTCTGTCTGTCCTCATGAGTTCCTCCCTCACATTCCATCATCCATTCCTCCCTGGGAGGCAGCTACAAATGTTATTCTACTCACTTTCTAGGAGGAAGAAGGAAGGTGAAGTTGAGCTAGATGAGAGTTTGCTTGGAAACCCAACCCACTCAGAGGCAGATCCTGGGTTTCATTTTTTTCCTTTAAAGAAAGAAACTGAAGTGCCTAAAATCCTGACAGAACATTCTGTGCGTGGAGTTATTCTTCCTCTTCTTCCTCTTGCTTGTTGCTGCTATACCTTTGGCCCATTTCCAAAGTACCTGAAGCCACAAAAAACTCAGCAGTGTGTGCTTTTAACTTAGCAGTCAGGGAGGTGGCCATAGAGGAGGAAAAGGAAAGGATGGGATACCAGAAAACCTCATTCCAGTGATCACTCACACATCAAAAATACTAGAATAAGTCATTTACAATTAAACTGAATCAGTCCTTTGGCTCTGAGGCTTAACTTTTTTTTTTCTTAAAGAAAACAGAAACCCAAACCATCTCCTTCAATGCTTGGTTCATATTTGTTCCATATTACAGGACTTGATCCTAAACTCAATAAGTTTCATTTCACTTTGCCTCCAAGACATTTTTTTTTATATTCCCTTATGCTAAAACAGTATATATTTCCTTACTCAGAAATATTTTTTTTAATGTGAAAGCCAAATATAATAGAACTATAGGATTTGGAACTGGAAGGGATCTTAGTGCAACTTTACTCCCCATTATTTTACAGACAAGGAAAGTGAGACACAGATTAAGTGAATTGCTTAAGATCCTACAAGTAGTAAATAGCAGAGCCTGTATTTAAACCCAGTGACCTTGATTCCAAATTCTTCAAGTTCTTCTAGTGGTTAAATGTTATAATACTTTTTTTTTAAATTCTGTTTATTATAAGTGACCTCAACAGTACTGGAACTTGGAAACTTTTTCTCTTCCTTTTGTTGTTCAGTTGTATTTCAGTTGTGTCCAACCCTTTGTGACCCCATTTGGGGTTTTCTTGGCAAAGATACTGGAGTGGATTGCCATTTCCTTCTCCAGCTCATTATACAGATGAGGAAACCGAGGGAAACAGGATTAAGTGACTTCCCCCAGGTTATACAGCTAGTAAGTGTCTGAGGCCAGATTTGAACTGTTCCTTTAGTCCCCAGAATATATGCTGAACAGCTCTCTTTAAACTTGCTAAATGATGTTACCTATTCCAAAAAAAAAAAAAAAGCCTTCCTTGTTTAATGATTTTTAAAAGAGTAATAAGAGGATAGCATATGCCAAATAAGCACTACAGGAAACTCACACTGGTTATGTTTGATTCCTGTAACTTTAACAAGAATAAAACAACCAGGAAGTGTCAAAAGACATTATTTGTGAGGAGGGGGCACAGGCTCACTGGAGCTAGCTACATGGTCACACAATTAGAAGGCAAACACATACTAAGCTGAGCCAAGATCCAGAAGAGAGAACCACAGAACAGCTTCTCCTTCCTGAGGGAGAGGTTAGCATTCTGCTAGAGCCTGTTTCTGTACCACCTTTCATCTGTGGGCATCCTCACCTGCCCCAGATCAATGCTACATCACAAGCACTGGATCTGGAGTCACATGAGACCTGGTTTCAAAACCCTCTCTGCTATTAGTGAGTCTGCTAAAGTAAGTCATGTCCCTTCTCCAGACGGACCTCAGTTTTCTCACCTTATTAAAAAGAGGTGATTGTATTAGATGATCTCAAAGGTCCTTCCAGTTCTCCTATTAAACATGATGATGTCTTTAGGGAAAAGGTCACAGGAATGGGGCATCTAAATTTCCCAGGGGGTTGTCTTAACAAATATTTTGAATGGGATAAAAATGGGACAATTTAATTGCTTTAAAATTTTTTTTAAAAAAAAAAACCCACTTATTTCTTCAAATAAAACTAAAAACAGTGAAACCTTTTACTTACTGTACAGTACAACATATATTTTCCTTCAATTTCTACCATTAAATTCTCCATTATGCAAACATTTCCCACAATGTGGGTTCAAGAAATACTTGGTAAATAACTTTGTTTTTGGTGAAATGAGCAGACTGACACTGTTTCTTGATAAGGTGCTAAGGAGTCCATCTACTTTTTTTTTAGTGACTTATCACTCGTCTCTGTAGCCTCCATAAATGCTAATAAATGTTTAGCATCTTTAAGGATTCCACTAGGATAGGGTGCTGGGGCTGAAGTCAGGGAGACTCATTTTTATGAGTTCAAATTTGGCCTCAGACACTTACTAGTTATGTGACCCTGGGCAAGTCATTTAACCCTATTTGCCTCAGTTTCCTCATCTGTAAAATGAACTGGAGGAAATGGCAACCCAAAAAACAACAGGTGCTGATAATTAAGCTAATACTGAGGGAGGAACTTTAACAAATTGTACCTTTAAAAGACTTTCTTTGTTGCCCAGAATGAAGAAAGTGTAAAGTATTATTGGACCACAGAATTGGACATGGAAGGGTCCTTATCTAGTTCAACCCTCTTCATTTTTACAGGTAAGGAAACTATGACCAGGAGTCACTAACCCACAGGTTAAACACCTGGCAAATGTAGGATTCTAACCAAGGACCTCTGTGGTCCTGTACCACACTGCCTCTAACAAAGTCTACTCCATGTTTATGATTTATTATTACTATTTATATTAAAGTACAACAAATAATATTTTATTACTATCTAGCAATTTTATTGCTCTCACTTTAAATTTAATATTCACTAAAATTAATATAATAGAAGTTCACAGGTTTTATGTACAATTCTCTTTTTATATTCTTCTCTGCATACTGAAATGCTCATATTTGTTGATCTTTGTTAAGTTCATAATAAAAGAAAAGCAATTTAAAAAAATTTTTTAAAAGATAGATTCAATAGACATGAAGATTCTGCTCTGATCTCCATCATTCTGGACCAGCCACAAGGCCTCCAGATCCTTTAGGGTAAGCAGTGAAAAGATAGTTGCCAGGCCTGTTCACTCAAGACTCTAAACCTTTCCATTCATTAATTTTTATTTGTTTTAATTTGTATTAAAACCTTTCATTTTCATTTCACCTTCATTCCAAGATACCTCCCTCGCTGCTTCCTTACCCACTGATCAATCCCTTGAACAAAGAAAGGAAAAGAAAGGGGAAAAGTTCAGAGAAACTAACAAATATATCAGCTGAATCTGACAATACACAATATTCCAACACCCTACCATGGGTGGGGAACCTGAGGCCTTGGGGCCCACACGCAAGCACAGCTCATTGACTGCATCCAAACTTCAACTTGGATTCAGCCAATGGGCTGCATTTGAGGACCTAGAGGGCCACATGTGGTCTTGAGGCCATAGGATCTCCACCCATGTGCCTAGTCCCTCATCTCTGCAAAGAAGGGAGGAAGATGGATTTTCTCTTCTCCTCTTTTGGGCCAAGTTTCCACAGTACAATTCCATTTTGTGGTGGCTGTTGTTCTTTCTATTGACATTA